TAACATAGGATCCTGGGAACCCCCTGCCCCCAAATCATAAGAACTGTGTTTAACCATGTATTTATCAATATACTCAGTATCTCCTGTAATGTTATGTATTTTAAAACATTAATTTAAGATCAATTAATTTAAAAACATCCAAAGAGTCTAAGTTTGATCAGACTGCTAAGAGGCTCCTGTAAGTCCACTCCCCATCCCTCTGGAGGCAGAATGAGCGTGTATATCAGTTAGTGGGCTCTGGACCCAGGACACTTCTTTCAATCCTGGATCCAGCTTAAGTCCTCCAAACCTTGAGAATTGATTTTTTCACTCAAGTGCTGGCACGGGAAGATGGCTGCATCCCTACCATGGCTGGACCACTCTAGGAACCCCTCCTACAGTGATTCGGGTAAGAGAGGAAATCAAGAGAGGATGTGATGAACCGGAGAATTCTAATTTCTCTGAAAACATACATGTTAGGACCACAAAGCACAATGGTGAGGAGGGATTCCTTTTCCCTTTGTTAAGTTTTGCCCTGAGCTGGGTCTTCCTCCGCGGACATGTTGACTTCTAGATACAACAGGGGTTTTTAGTTTCTGAAAAGACTTTCAAGTTGGATTTAATTGGCATCCTTTGATTTAACAATATAAAAGTACCACTTTATCTAATTTAGTCTTCAAATCAGTATTGCTCTCTGGAGATAAAGATCATGAAATTGAACTCCAAATATTGTTAAGAATCTCTCTCTCAAATGATGTGTCTTCCTGTACTTGCTACTGAAAGTGAGAGGAAACTTGCACCTGGGTATGGCCACTATCTCAACCTTGTTGACTGCCTGGGATGCTGTAGGTCACTCCCAGGAAAGGAGATAAAAACGAGGGGGGCATTTCCAGTTGTACATGCAACTCACCCCTTTGTGTTGGTACTGAACTTGACAAGTAGTCGAGTGAGGTAGATGGTATGGCTGTGCTTGGGAAGGTGGCTTTTCCCTCTGGTTCCTCTGCTTAGCAATGAGGAAGCCGGGGGAGGGGGGAGGGGAGTCCCACTTGTGACCTCAGCACTGCATCATCAACTAGTGATTGTTGTGTGACTACTGAGCCTCCAACTCACCTCAAGCCCTTGAACAGGAGGACGGACTGTGATTAATCACTCCTTTTGTTGTCCCGTTCTCTCCCTGGGTTCTTCAAAATTTGTGCCGGTGAAATCAGGGTATGGTGAAGACCACTGAACTCTAAGGACAGGGAGGCTCATTGTTGCTGGCAACAGAAAAGCTCCGTTTATACGTGGTGTCTTTTTGCTCCCCCAGCCTCCCCAATTTTAACTCCTTTGTACTTGCCCCTTCTCCCCCTTTCTAGGACAGCCTCCCTGGCTTGACCACAGCCATTTCGACTTTCCTTTCCTCTCTATTTTTTTTTTTAATATGAGATTCTGAAGCCTCTTTTTGCTACTCTATATGACTGGCTCAAGTCCAAGGATTATTCTCTCTCTCTCTCTCTCTCTCTCTCTCTCTCAAATTCTCACCCAAGGATATGTTTTATAAAATTGATTTTTTTTTGGGGGGTGGGGGGGAGAAGCATTGATGTGAGAGAAAACATTGATGAGTTGCCTCCTGGATGCCTCCGACCAGGATTGAACCCACAACCTTTGGTGCCCCAACCAACTGATGACACTTCAACCAACTGAGCCACCTGGCCTGGGATTAGCTCTTTAAAAAAATTTTTTTTTAAATATGTTTTTATTGATTTTAGAGAGAGGGGAGGAGAGAGAGATTAAAAACATCAGTGATGAGAATCATCAATTAGTTGTTGCACACCCCCTACTGGAGACGGAGCTCGAAACCTGGCATGTGCCCAGACTGGGAATTGAATTGGTGACATCTTGGTTTATGAGTCGATGCTCAATCAATGAAGCCACACTGGCTGGGCTGGGCTTAGCTCTTTTTCTCAATGTCTCTGGCTATAATGCACTGTTTATTGGGCTCTGTGGTTTTTTTTCCCCAATCAGGGAGTGGACATCCCTTGATATACATGGGAAATTAACACTACCTAAAGGAGTTGAGTTTGATGCTCCTGACCAGTCCAGACCTACTGGGTTAACTCCAGATCCTTAGAGTAGAAAGGTGCCTCTGAGAAAATTCCCCCCCGTGCCTTCCAAAGGCTTGGCCAGTGGGTCTTTGTGGTTGGATTAGGGGTGTGTCTGGGGTGAAAAGTAGATGAGTGTGGGAAAGCCAAGTGGGGCTCAGACACACGGAGCCTGGAACTCGGCTGCAGGAAGTTCATCTTGGCCGTCATTCTTGTTGAGTAGGCAAGACTCACAGGATGAAGTGAGAACACAACTCTATTCCTCCCCTGGATGCCTCTTAACACTCTCTCTGCGGAGCCGGCTCTTCCCTTCCCCCTGGGATGAGGTCTGTGGCAGATGCCATTGACTTCTAGGGTAAAGTTTGGACAATAACAAGCTCTCTGGTTCCTTCTGTTTATACAAACCATCTTACTCCAGTAATCGGAAGGCCTGTTTCCATGAACACTGGATTTCCTTCTCGTTCCCACCAGAAACAGAAAGAGCATCTTCTCTACCCGGTGTTTCTCTTCACTCACCCAAGTGCCTCCGGTTCCAGGATGGGAGCTGCAGAGGGAGGAGATAGAAGGGGCAGGAAGGTTCTTACCTAACTGATGCCGTTCTGATCTCCTGATATCCAGAAGAAGGGAAACTTGAAGATGTTCTTCAGGGGACCCCCGTCCCCTGGCTGAGGTTTGGATCACAGATCCTCAATATCAGCAAACATCTCCTTGGCTGGCTGCCCAGAGCTCCTGCAGCTCCTAGGCATTTGGCAGATCTCCCAGCTCTCACTGCTGATTACCTCACCGCCAGGTGGCCCTCTAGGATGGGACTTGACATAGCCCAGAGGGCCAGCTCTGCCTCTCCTGTGGGCCGCATCTGGTCCATGGGAAACGCTTACAACCAGTTGAGCTTTCCAAAGTCTTTATATTTTTTCATAAAATGGGAAGAGCCAGAGAACTGTTTTCTTTTTTCTTCTTCATTTTTTTAAGATACAATTTAATTTCACTTGAATTTCACAAAAGAAAGAGAAGTTGATGGAATTGCTGAATTCATATAAATATTCCCTATAGATAAGAGACACTTCCTCTAACATATTCCTTCAAGATTAAAAAAAGAAAAGAAAAAGAAAATGTGAGAACATTAAAGGTTGAGGTCATTATGATTTTTTCCAAGGACATATTTTCTTTTTTGTGTGTGTGTACAGAATGACTTCTTGCTGTGAAAGATGAGTTCGTTGGCCCAGCCACCCGGGCATGAACACGCAGTTCTAAAAATACGGAAGCCCTTCTGTACCAGTTAGTACTTGTCAGTCACTGAACTGTCCCCAGGGCTCTCCCACTCTCCTGGCTGCCCCATCCCACCGCTGGGACCAACCCCCAACCCCCATCTCCCCAGAACCCAGAGCTACAGGGGACAGGGGACTCTAGTCTCATCTCCCAGTGCCTTCAACACCCACCACTTTGCCCCAAGCAGCATAGTTTCCATTGGTTTTACATAATGACCATCAGGTAAGCCTTTGTGTGCAGAAAGTACTCAGTGTGAAAACCATTTGAAGTCCCCTGCTAAGGGTCATCCCTCAGGCCCTTGCAAGTTTGCACATTCCCAGATTTCCAAGAATGGAGGCCTTTTTCCCAAACACACTAGCTCCTTGTGAAGTCAAGTGCACGTCTGCACCCTGGTGTCATTACACTTTGAAGTGCCCTGCTAAGGGTCATCCCTCAAGCCCTTGCAAGCTTGCACATTCCCAGATTTCCAAGAATGGAGGCCGTTCTCCCAATTCTCCCCAACACAGGGAGCTCCTTATGGAGCCAAGTGCACGCCTGCCTCCTGGTGTGATGACCTTGCCTCCAAAGGGACAACAGACACAGGCCTGTGGGTGTAGAGAGGACCCCCAGACATCTCCAAATGGGATGAGGCAGAAGGTGCTTGAGCCCAGGCTCAAGTGGAGGCGGCAGGAAGGGGGTGGGCTTTGCTTCTGCCCAGGCCTGTGCCCGGTGCTCAAGGTCCAGATCCTCTCCTATCCTACGAGAGGTGTTTTTTTGCTCCCTTCCCTTCCCCCCTCCTCCCTCCTGGCTTTACTGAGCACCTGTCTGTGCCAGGTGCTAGGGTACAAAAGCAAAAGTAGCATCCCCAAGATCTCCCTGCCCTTGGAAGTATCATCAACAAAATGGCTGTGACCACAGTGGGTGCAGGATGCAGGGGGAGCCCCAAGAAACTCAGGGAAGATTCTCCAGGTGAGTTAAAGCTGGCTGGGACCTGAAGGCTGAGGAAGGGCATTCCAGATGGAGGGAACTGCATGCGCGAAGGCAGGGAGGCAGGAAAGAGCCGGCCTGGTCTGGGAACTGTAGGAGGGTGATGGAGCCCGGGTCCAGGAAATCTGCTGGGTGAGGTTGGGGTCCCAAAACCTACTCTCTGGACCCTCTGCCTCCTTGACCTCCTTTGTTCCCAGCTAGGAAGAGGCCCCGGCCCAGCTGCACAAATGGATGGCTTTGACATTGGAGAGAGAGTGAGCAAGGAGGAGCCCACTGGTGTGTGTTTTGTGATTGCTTCTCAGAAATCTGCCCTCCTCCTCCTCCTCTGACACCATGGCAACCAGGAAGCAGCTAGGGAAGCCACCTGTGAGCTGGGCTGAGTTGAGGGCAGGGCTCAGGTGTTCCCAGAACCCGGAAAAGCCCCCAAAGGAGCCCTAGCCAGCTTTGCTCAATGGATAGAGCGTCAGCCTGTGGACTAAAGGGTCCCAGGTTAGATTCCGGTCAAGGGCACATGCCCGGGTTGCAGGCTCCAACCCCAGTGGGGGGCTTGCAGGAGGCAGCCAATCAATGGTTCTCTCTCATCATTGATGTTTCTATTTCTCTCTCTCTGCCTCCTTCTTCCTCTCTGAAATCAATAAAAATAAATAAAATAAAAGCCCCAAAAGGAGAGGTCTATTTCCTGAGGCTGCACTTCCGGCTTTCCACGTGGCCACGCCCCCCTGTTCACGTGCCCATTGCACAGGTGAAGCTACTGCGGCACAGAGAGGGCGAGTGACTTCTTCCTTGGAGGGTGCACAGCAGTAAAAGGTCGGAGCTGGAAATGGAACCCTCGGCCGCCCAGAGCCTCTGTCTCCTTGACCTGTGACCTCTGGGTAAGGGGCCATTTGCTTTGTTGGGCTTCACCCTTCCCCTCACCCCCTCCTCCAACCCCAGCAGACAGGGGTCCGGTCACGGCACCAGTGCCTCCGGGCGGCTGCTCTCTTTGTCCCAAGGTCCCTCCCAGCTGGTAACCTTGGCGGAGTCCCCCAGCTGCACTGGGGCGAGGGCCCTGCGTGAGGAACATGCCGCCTCCCCTCCCCTCGCCGTCTGTGGCTTAGATTACAAAGTGCCATGATTTCCCCCGCCTGCCTTTCGCCGCCTGCCTCTCCTGGCCCATATTGTTTTATCTCGAAATGAAATTGATTCGGGTTCTGCAAACCAGCAGGCTTCCCGCATTCGTTCTGAGCCGTGGCTGAGCCCGAGCCCCACAGGTCACCAGCTCCCCAGGTCCTGCCTGCAGCCCCAGGTCCTCAAACCAGTCTGGGAGGGGCCGGAGGTGGACCCTCTTAGGCAGAGGGGTGCAGGCACCAGGTGGGCACTGCGCCCCCACACCCAGCCTCCCCTCTCCCAGGAGGAAATGCCGAGAGCACCCAGTCTGAGCTGAGTCCAGCTCCTGGAGGGCTCAGCCTGCGCAGTGCGGCCACCAGAGGGGACCCGTCTGCAGGGTGGTGGGCAGAACAGGCCTCCCAGGGCAGCTGGGTGCCCACCTGGCCCCACAGCCATCCCTCAGCCTCCCCCTTGCCCCTGCTGAAGGGGAACCAGGTGTGGTTTCCGCCCAGCCCAGCTGCCTGCCTTGGGAGGTGGCGGAGGCTGTCGCCCTCTGCTGGCCAGTTCCCGTTACTGCAGGACGTAAAGTCACCCGCCACCCAGCCCAGCAAAAAAGCCAGAACCAGGCCTCCGCGCTTCCCTCGGCTGGGATGGAGCAGAGGAGCAGAGCTGGATCGGGAGTCAGGACGGTCTCTGCAGCTGATGTGTGGTCCCCATTTTCACCCACCCAAGGTGCCTCAGGGTCATGGATCTTTGACCCTTGATCCCTTTTCCATGACCTTAGACCCGTGACCTTTTATCGGTGTCCTGATTCTTGACGTTTGATTCTTAACCTCTGATGTTTGACCCCTTACCTCTGACCAGTGACCCTACTCCTTGATGCTTGACCCTTGAACTTAACCCTTGAGAAGCCTAACAACCTAACAACTCTAACCCAAAACCTAACCCTAGACCCTGGACCCTAAAATCTTGACCCTAGTTCTTTGAACGCTGACCCTTCGCACCTGACACTTTCTTCATGATCTTTAACTCCCGACCTTTGACCTTTAATCTAACCCTGGACACTTTACCCTTCATCCTGTCCCTTGACAATTCTAATACCCCTAACACTCTTACAAACCCTAACCCAAAACCTAACCCTAGACCCTGGACCACAGAACCTAGACCCTACATACTTGAACAGTGACCCCCTCACATTTGACCCTTGACCTCTGACCATTGACCTTTGACCCATGGGCCTTGACCTTTGACCCCAGTTGTCTGGACATTTCCCCTACCCCTTGACACTTGACCCTTCATGTGGACCCTTGAAAACCCTAACAATTTTACCTATGGCCCTTCACATTTGACCCTTGATGTCTGACCTTTGTCCCTACTCCTTGACTCTTGGACGTTCACCCAGAGCCTTAACAACCCTGTCAACCTTAACAACCCTAAACTGAAACCTAACCCTATACCGTGCACCCTGGAACCTAGACCATAGTTCCTTGAGTACTGACCCTTCACATTTGATCCATTGACTCATGACCTTTAACTCATTGTACGCCATAAGCGTATGTAGACGCAAGCGGTGGACCTTCCCCACATGCCAGCTGTGTCTTAAAAAAATGTTTTCCCCAAGTGGCAGCCCTGACCAACTTTAAAATCATTTTGTGTGTGAGAATTTTCAGCTTAAAATATTCAATAACATTAGAATTGTAATATATTTATTTGTATAATGTTCATTGCAAATTGATTTTTTTCATTGAATTTAAAATATCATGGCATGTGGGGATGGTTTCTGTTGTGGACGCGTGGCATTTAACTGGTTAATGCTGACCTATGACCCTTGACCTCTGAGCCATGACCCCTGATCCATAACATCTGCCCTATGACCATTGACCTCTGACCCCTGATATTTGACCCTTATCCCTACCCCTTGATGTTTGACCCTTCACCTGGGCCTTAGCAACCCGAACAATTTGACCTATGGCCCTTAACCTTTGACCCCTGACATCTGACCTTTGTTTCTACCCCTTGATACTTGACCTTTGACCCTTGACCTTGCAATATAATGCTGACCTGTGACCATTGACTCCTGACCTGACCTTTAACTCCCACCACTAACCTTTGCCCCATGACGCTTGCTCCTTCATCTGGACCCTTGAGAACCCTAACAACCCTAACCTGAAACCTAACCCTAGACCCTGAATCCTAAAACCTAGACCCTAGATCAGTGATGGCGAACCTTTTGAGCTTCGCGTGTCAGCATTTTGAAAAACCCTAACTTAACTCTGGTGCCGTGTCACATATAGAAATTTTTTGATATTTGCAACCATAGTAAAACAAAGACATATTTTTGATATTTATGTTATATATTTAAATGCCATTTAACAAAGAAAAATCAACCAAAAAAGTGAGTTCCCGTGTCACCTCTGACATGCGTGTCATAGGTTCGCCATCACTGCCCTAGGTCCTTGGATAATGACCCTTCACACCTGACCCTTGACCTTTAGCCCTGACCTATCACCCTTGACCACCGACTCTTGACCTTCACCCTTTCACCCCTGACTGACTGTGTCCTGTCTGACCTTTGGCTTTTGACCCTTGTCTTGTGACCATTTGACCTATGGCCTGTGACCTTGGACCTGTGACACTTGACCTTTCACTCTGACCTCTGACCATACCCCTTAACACTTGACCCTTTACCCAGACCCTTGACAACCCTAATCATGACCCTAGATCCTTGAATGTGCCTCCCCCTCAGCAACCAATGAGGGTAAAGGAACAGCCTCCCACCAGCAGCCAATCGTGGAGTGGGGCAGTGCCAGAGAGATACCCTTTGAGGATGTACCCCACAAGGAAGAAAAAGAAGTGGAAGGCGGGACAAGGGGACAAGTGAGGAGGAGAGCAGCCCCAATTTAAATTTGAGGACAGTGTGGGATGTGTGCACCAATGATCATCTTTGTGGTCCATCTCATGAGGTGGTGATAGTTTTAAGGGAATGCAAAGGAAGAGCATTTACCTGGAGAAAGTTATGTAACATAAAACCTGAGGGATGAGTAGAAAAGTTCCTCCTCTCTTCAGCTTTGTATTGTAACTGCCTTGATTACAGAAAACATTTCTATACTTTGTAGCCAGGTTCTGTACTACTAGTGGAGTCATAATTCTACACTGAAATACTTCCAGATGATTTCTTATATCCATTGAATGTCTTGACCACCGTCTTGCTTCCTGGTGATGTTGTCTTATTTGCAGAGAACAGGTTATGTGTCTGGCTCAATGGAGGGGCCTACCAGATCTGTTTATTATAAGACATAGCTTTTTCTTTCTACAATTAGTCATTTGGTGAGTTGCTCTTTGAGAGTGTATGAATATCCTCCTCTCTAACGTTACTTTTCTAAAAACTTCACCATTTCTTGATGATCTATGATGTGTATCAGTTATCATATTCGTATTTGTACATTGGAACCTTTTAAATTTTATCATTCCCTTATACCTTTGATTGTATTTGCTGCATTGTTTTAAGTTGGGTTCTTTGAATATGGATCCAGGAATTGAATGGTAGAGTTAATGGCTTTGGAGCTTCATTTCTTGAGTGTACTAACAAAATCATAGTAAATGCCATTTCAAAACAGATGGCCTGATAGGAGATCAATTAGATTAACTTTTGTAGGAGGAAGTAGCCCATGATATTTTGGGAGCATGAGTTGCAAAGCTTCTAAATGGATGTAGCCCAGACACGAAATCAGATTTGAAGAAAATGAGAGAAGATGAATTTGGGCTTCTAGTAGATCACAAGTCACTCATGGGCATGAGGATCACAGAGAAGGTCAGTGTGTAGATATGCAAATGTGGAGTTTAGGGAAGGCCCCAGCCTGTGACATTTAAAAAAATTTAAATCATTTTAAAATTTTTCAATTACAATGGACATACATTTTTTTTATTAGTTTCAGGTTCAGCCTGTGACCCTTTTGGCCTAGAAAATGGAGGGATGATGCTGTCCTGGTCAAGGCCATTAATGGAGCCATGTGAAAACACACAGCGTGGGACTGTCAGCACCTAGGAAACAAGGTAGCAACTCTTCAGGGGTCTTGTGCCTCCTTCCTGTAGCAGCCAAACTCTTTCTTGTATTGTTGGTAGGTCTTTCGCAAGACAGAGTTTCTGCCTTCACCTAGTATATGAGACCTCTAATGCCGGGATTCTTGTTCTAGCATCTAGAAGGGTTCAGCCCATCTGGATAAGGCTGTGCGTAGATGAAATAGGAGTCCAGAGACGAAGCATAATTTTGAAAGGCATTTGGGGGTCAGAGGAGCTTAGCTTAAAGGAAACTAAGATCTAAATTCTAAGTTCTCCTCCTCTCTGGACCCCATGCTTTTTATTAACACAATTTGTCCTGAGGCGAGGTGGAGATCTACTCTTCAAAGGGTCAGGGTTTCATACAGAGTCCATTGTCAGAATGGGGGAATTAGCCTACGGCTGTTCAGGTGTTTGGCCAGTAGGTGGCAATAACATGTAGATTAAGATGCCCTTTAGCTGTCTGGCAGCCAAGCAATCAATTTAATGTATTCTATTCGGGTTTAGGGAAATGCCTTCAGCCATTCCCAGATGCAGCCTGCTGTCATGCTGGAATTGGTTTCTAATAATATTGGCACAGGAATTTAGGACCCAAGCCCTCTTCCTCAATCTTTCTTAGGAGTAGGAGGCTTTTTTCTTCCATGCTTTCCCTAACCACAGTGGTCTTTCTCTGTATTAAGACTTGCTTTTCCCAAAGAGGAGAGGCTATTGGTGGGGCTTTGTGCCTTTCTTACAGTGATGGTTGTTCCCTTCCCCTGTGTCAGCACCAATGAGGGAGGCATCCTCGGGTCTACCTCCCTGTTCCCAGCATTTCTCACAAGCACCAAGTGGAGAAGCATGGAGAATGACCTTCACATGGGGGCAAAGTCCCCTGTTTCTGTGACCTCTGGGCTCCCATACTGTCATGCTGGCTGATACTTAGTTGTTGGAAATTTATTAGACATCTTAGCTGAGTTTTTCTCGTTTGCTATATGGCTCCTGACATCTCTTTCTCCTGAAGTCTCACCTAGGGGAGCCAGTGCTCACATTCTGCCTCTTGATTGTTTTAAGCCTCTGATTATTTTGAAACTGCTGCTTTTAAGGGCTTGAGAAAAGTTATGCTTTTGTAGTTTATGTGACTTTTACTCTTTTTAAGGTGAGAGTGCAGCTCTCTGGCTTTCTACATCCTCAGTGGAACTGGAGCTTCTCCCCCATGGCTTTACTATTTCTTTATGTCTCTTCTCTTGCCCCTTTTTATTTTTTTATTGTCTAAAGTTTACATATGTCTCCTTTTTATCCACAATTGACACCGCCCCCCCCGAGTCATTCCCACCATCTCTTGCCCCTTTTTAGATTGATAAATAAATGTTTTTATTTTTCATCCCTCCCCATTAGTTTTTTAGGGATACATATTTATTTGCTGTTTCTTTTTTGTTGTTTGTTTGTTTTGCACCATTCCTGGTGGTACTGCAATACTGGGTTGATGTGTGGAGTGGACGGAGCAAGCTCCTATTCCATCTCCCTATTCCAAAATTACATTTACTATAAGGTCCTCAGATAGAGGAAGTACCAGACATTAAACTGATAAGGACAGGTGCTACAATTGATCTTAGCCAAAAGGCCGAGAAGTGATGTGTGTGTGTTTTTTAGAGGACACTGTAGATATCTCAATAAACATACTTGACTTCCTATAATCTGATAAACAATAGCACTTAAATTCTTCCTCAGAAATCCTTAGGAACCATACAGTGCCTTAATTTCACTAACTTAATCCCAGGCTCTTGTGTTACTGTTGTCAAATACATAAATTTTAAATCTCACATATCATTATTATTAACACTAGTGGCCCGGTGCATGAAATTTGTACACATTGAAAGGGAATTAATTAGAGGAAATATTTTAATATTGCTATTTGTCCTTTCTCTGCAATAGAAATGTCAGAGATGAAAGAAAATTAGTAAAATATATATGAAAATCTTCCTCCTGTCAGAGTCTGGGGCATGCTGGGGGACCCAGAGTCAGGTCCCTTCCCACCGGCGTGCGCCTAGAAATTGCGTGAGACCCAGACCCGGCTGGCCCCAGCCCCATTGGGTGAGATCCAGACCCGGCTGGCCCCAGCCCCATTGGGTGAGATCCAGACCCAGCTGGCCCCACCCCCGTCAAGCCCCACCAGGCAGGGGGCACAGCCTCAGGTCCCCTGGCCCAGCGCCAGGTGGGGAGGCACAG